AAAGTTTGAAATGTTGTCAATCTCACTAGTCTCCTTCTAGAAATTAAGTCAGCCAGCCCCTCCTCAAGGTTTAGCTGGAGAGCATACACAAACTGTATCTGTAGAAAAAAGTAAGAGCTAGTGAAGTCCATATGTAAACTAATCAAGCCAAAAGATCTTCTCCAAACTCTTTTGCCTTTCATGTTGTACTTCCCTCTTCTTAGCTTTTGCTATACTGAAATATGCCAAACCGTATAATATATATACATATTATGACTGATATATAATGACATCAAACATGGAAGGATTGGGGGGGGTTTATTTTGTTATTGTTTGTTTTGGTATGTTTTTTGTTTGGTTTTGGGTTGTGGGTTTTTTTCTGGCTTGAAATTTTTGGGTTGTTTTTTGGGGAGTTTTTTGCTTTTTGGTTTGGCTTTTTTTTTTTTTTTTTTTTTTTGCTTGGATTGAGATTTGTTGTGCTGGCTCTGGTTAGCAGTGCACACTGACACAGGGCAAATGGCTCCGTGTCCCCGTTGCAGGCTTTTGACAGCCTGGGTGGTCGACAGGAACAACAAAGACTGTGAGTGTAAAAACTCCTGATTTTTTTTTTTTTTTAATAGGAAATTCAGGTTTTCTTGGTTTTTGCATGTCCTTCATCTTAGTGTTTTAGCATGGCTGTTGAAACTTAAATTGATTTTTTAAGCTTCTTTGAAAAAAAGCAAAACAGAGTATTTGCTTTTGAGGACCCTGGAAGAGCACGTGGATGGAAATGGCAATTCCCTCAGATTTCCCAGACACAGACCTGGGGGAAGTGAGTCTGTGGAGTTGGTTTGTGGGTGCTCTGCCATTGCAGAGCAAAGCTCCTCCTGGGGATCAGCAGCTCTGCAGAGTGGCCTTGCCAGGACAAAGCTCCCTCTCGTGGTGCTGCTGCATTTCCGAGGTGCATAAAGGCATTCCATCAAAACCCACATCTCTTAATACTCCTTCAACATCACATTTATTGTAATAAGTTGCACTTTAAAATGTATGCAAGCTTTTTGTTGAGTAAATAATACAGTTATTAAAAAAGGATTGAAAACATCATGTTTAGCAGTTGAGGACTTGCCATACTGTGGAACATAAGACAGTATTATTCTCGTTGGTTATGTAAACTTTGAGTCGTTCAGATGCTCCAAAATCAGCTGTTTGTGACTTTAAACTGGATCAGTGATACTTAGGGTGGCCTGTTCACTGCACCTGCTGGAATTTCTCCACATGGTGAATGGCTGTTTATCTGTGACTGACTAAGATGATGTGAAACAGGTTCTGATAAACAGGATGTGCAGTATCATAGAATCATAGAACCATTCAGGTTGGAAAAGACCCTTGGAATCATCGAGTCCAACCATCATCCCTACTCTGCAAAGTTCTCCCCTAAACCGCATCCACCAACACCACATCTTGACAACCCTTAAACACATCCAGGGATGGTGACTCAACTACCTCCATGAGCAGCCTGTTCCAGTGTCTGACTACTCTCCGTGAAAATTTTTTTCTAATGTCCAGTCTAAACCAGTCTAGTGTCTTTCTAAAGTCAGAAGACTTTTTATGAAGAGCTAATCTGACCTATTATTTAATATATAGCATGCATTTCCCTCAGCTCTATCTACTTAAATATATTAAAAGCCTGAGTAAATCCAGGCTTACTTTTTATTAAGTCAATTGACCGTATCCCAACAGTTCTTGCAATGACTTTCTCCTTGCTAAAAGGGAAACATTTTTAAGGCTGTTAAATTTTTGTGTCTAGTTGATGGACCCATCTGCCTGATAGACTGAAAGCTGTCTTCTGAAAGTCATATATTGAATAGATGGAGTTTCCACAGCTTCTCTTTGTGAAACAGCTGAGGTACCATCAAAGTGCTGTGGTGTGTGTAGAGTTTATTCAGTGTCATTAAACTTACAAACTGCGAGGAGTAGAAAGTAGCTCTTCTGGAAGCCTCTGTTGTCTGGCCTTGTGTTACTTTTTCCTGTGAACTAGATAACTAGTTCTTTGCTTGACCAAGAGTCTTTGGCTGAAAAAGAAGGAATTACCCAAAATGTGTGCCCAACCAGAAGAGTCTCCAGCACTCTCCCTTCCTTGGCTGCATGGTCTGCCGAACTTTTTCTGTGAGCGATGCCCTGAAGCACAGAGACAGGTCAGTGTCATGGGTTGTGTCTTTGCCTGTGTGAGCTGAATTCTTGCTCCTGCTCTTTTTATTCCTGCTTCTTCTCTGCAGGTCCCTGTTACAGGATCCTGTTGTAGGTGATGCATAGCTCACTTGTGACAGCCTTGGCTCATCACCTAGTTAAGCAGTCAGTCAGCACAAGCCGCTTTGTTTTAATTTACTCTCTTAGCCTGAGAAAAGCACTTAGGATCTTTAAGGATCCTTAAGGATCCTTTTAGGATTCTTAAATTCTTCCTTCAGCAATGTCCCTTCGTGTCCCAGGGCTGTTGTGTGTCATTACTAGTGTCTGTCCTCTCCTGGCTTGGTTGTCTGTCTTCTTTCTGTCTCTCTTTGCACACAGAGCACACCTCAGACTTGTGACTAATGGTGTAACCAGTTGGTTCAGGTTGAAAGTCAGATTTGTTTTGTTGAAGTACAACACTTCAAATCTTGCCCTAGATGTTCCTAGTCATGTTTCTCATCTTACAGTTTCAGGGCCACAAGTGATTCATTAGTTACCACAACATTATAACAGAATGTCAAATGCTTCCTTCATCAGACTTGCTATTTTCACTGCATTTCGTGTTGTGGAAAACAAAAACATAGAGTTAATGTTGTTTAGTTTTTTAAGAACACTATTGGATACCAGTCTTAGTCCTATGGTTAAAAATAAACAAAAAAGATGGAGCAGCATGTTCCACTGCTTGAGGGCTGCCCATCTTGATAATTTGTCGTCTTGACCCCCCTGTTGTCATCTAACTTGAAGTTTGAATTTTAATTTCAACCTTTTCAGGTTTTGATGTGTTGAAACTGCCTTGCAGGATCAGAAAACTTTAGAGGTCTGGATTAGTCAGTGTATGTTTGATAAAATGCATAGATTGGTGTCCCTCTCTGCTACTCAGGTTTTCCACACTCTCAGTGGCTCTTGCATCCATTCTGTCTAGTTGCGAGAACATGGCATTCTGCTGTGGGCTTCTTCTAGTGGCAGGATGGGGTTGTCACAATACAGAATTGAGTGTGGGTGTTTGTACATAGGTAATTGCTCTGCAAATCCTTTATGGTTGTTTTTGACACTACTTTTCATATTAAGTATATCTACTGAATGAACATTCTGTGATGCTGCTCTTTGGTTGCCTTAGTCTGCAGGCGTTGAGGAAATGTTCTTTTTCCTGATAGAAAGCTCGTCTTACTCCTATCAGTAGCTCTCACATGTTATCTTCATGCTGTAATTAGTGATAATAAGATAACTTTACATGTAATAAATTTCTGTCAAGTTTAAATCAAATCTAATTTGGTTTAGTGAAGTTGTGTATTGCCAAACCCCAACTGCGTGTGATAGATGTCAGAGATCTAAAAGATAAAATTGCTTTATAGTTGTATATATAAATAACACTACCAGTTGCAGGTATTTTGTCAAAGTAATAATAATCTTTATTAAGTTGGTCGTATTCCAGCTGTTCCTGAATGTTTGCAAACAAGGAATTAAGAAGCTTTTATTTCTGTTTTTAGTGCAGCTGCTGTTTGTTTCAGAGACCAACACGTATGAGCACTAACTGCTGCATTTGTCCTTCGTGGGCATTTACAGTCTCTGCCACCAAATGTCTGTCATCCCAGTCAAGGCAGGCACAGCAGTTTGGATCATGGTTTATGAAACTTCACTTTGTTCTGTGCTTTGCATGGTGACAATACTAAATTTGTTGAGATAAGTGATGTCCTGTCTCATAGTTGTAACTATGTGTCTGTTGCTCCCATGGAAGGTGCTGGGAGGGTTTGTGTTGCACATGGCAGAACTGCTGGGGCTTCTCCATGTCCAGCTGACAAAGCCCTCAGCTGTTGTATGGATCCCATTTGGGAATGGGTCTGGGCAGGTGAGGGTTGGCTTGGGACTAGGCAAATGGCCTGAGCAGCATGTTGATCTGCCCAGCATGGGTGGGTAGAAGGTGGACTGGTTTGCTGTGCAACTGAAGGCTTATCTTTGACGACAGATTGTTAATTCCAAACTATAATGCATTTTGTGGTTTCATTAACTGTCTATTTTAAAGGCACAGTGAAATATTTTAAGGGGTAGGCAATGAGGTATCCTGGCTTGTCAGCAGTGGTGTGGCCAGCAGGACTGGGGCGAGGATTGACCTGCTGTGCTGGGCACTGGTGAGGCCACACCTCAAATCCTGGGGTCAGTTTTGGGCCCCTCACCACAAGATAAACATGAGGGGCTGGAGCATGTCCAGAGAAGGGCAATGGAACTGGGGAAGGGTCTGGAGCACAAATCTGACGAGGAGCAGCTGAGGGAGCTGGGGGTGTCCAGCCTGGAGCAAAGGAGGCTGAGGGGAGACCTTCTGGCTCTGCAGCTGCCTGAGAAGAGGTTGGAGCCAGGGGTTTGGTCTTGTCTCCCAAGGAACAAGGGGTAGAACAAGAGGAAATGGCTTCAGGTTGTGCCAGGGAAGGTTTAGCTTAGATCTTGGGATCAGTTTCTTCCTGGAAAGGGCTGTCAGGCGCTGGCCCGAGCTGCCCAGGGCAGAGGGGGTTTTAAAAGGCATGTAGATGTGGTGCTGAGGGACATGATTTAGTGGTGGCCTTGGCAGTGTGGAAGAGAAAGAGGTCTAAGAAGGTGGTGGCAAGAGAAGACCTCACCACAGGTGGGGCATGGTGGGTCAGTGGCTGACGGGTTGGATGCAGCTCCTGCCAGGGGCATGTGCTTTGTGGATTAGAGCTGAGGAGGGTTTGGTTTGGAACCACAGAGGTCTCTTCCATCTTGGGATTTGCCTGGCTTTTCACTGTCACATAGAGAAGTGTCCTTCATTTTCCTGGTCTTTTGATGAAGCTCTTCTGTTTTTCCAGGACTGGCAGCCACCGTTTGCGTGTGATGTCGATAAGCTTCACTTCACACCGAGGATCCAGAGGCTCAATGAACTAGAGGTAAAGTGTAAAGCTGAACACTGCTGCTGCTCCAAAATGTGTAAATACTGTTTGGAGAGGTGGTGTTTTCCAGTGGATTGACCATGAGCTGTGTTTGCCTTGAGCTGACAGCACTCAGGACTTCTGAACATCAGTTTTTAATTGGCACAGAAATTCATCTGTTTCAAAATCTCCTTAAAACCATGCCAAACATAAAAAAGTAAAGTTAATGCTCATTAGAAGAACATAATTCAGGTCTTTTCCACACTGAGTTGCTTCTAAGCGGTTAAACTGAAATTCTCAAGTGCCACAGATTGGTGGCTGTGTTTTGCACATATACATCATCTTTTAAAAGTAGAAGAGATGCAACATTTACAGAGTGCTTTAAAAATAACAAGCCATTTGGAAGAGACAATTGCAAAATCTGGATTCAGTTGGTGGAAATTTGCTGTTCACAAGCACTTTCATTCAGTGTTTTGGTGAATTCAGACTAGAAGGGAATGGTGAGGAGTTCTGGTTATCTCTCTGCTGGTAGGAATGGGTGTGGTGGTGACTGCCTACTGGCTGTTTTTTACCTTAAAAATAGAAAATGTGATGAAAATAAAACGTGTCAAAACTTAACTCCAAACCGTTACTCTTTAACATAGCAACAGTCCCATTATCTGCCTGTGTGAACTGCTGTGCAAATAAACTAGTTGGCTTTCCCTGCCCTGCCCAGGTTCTATCTGTAAAAATGGAATAAATGCGGTTGGGAGTAAAAAGGGGTAATGGAAGAACCCTTTAAATTTTTTTGTTTAACAATCCATAAATATTAGGTTTTTTCTGGTTTATTACAAATAAACCAAATTGCAATAAACTATTCTATTTGTTAGCGTAATGAATTTTAGCAATGCAGCTGGTGTAGATATTTTCTAACAGTAATAACACATTGCTTGTCCCTTCCCAAAAACTACTTTTCCAAGTCAAAGTATCAGAATCATAGAATGGTTGGAAGGGACCTTAAAGAGCATCTAGTTCCAGCCCCCCTGTATGGGTAGGGACAAAAGTTAACAAAAAGTGACTTGAGAAAAGACTGGTGTCTGAATGGAATTAATTTTTTCAGCATACAATGAGAAAATGCAGAGTTGCCCTGGCAGAGGGAAGAGCCAGGCTCTCAGCTGGGGCTGCAGCCCTGTGAACACTGGGATACAAAAGCTTAATCTGCATTTAGTGTGGTGTTAATTTTTTTAAATTGTTTTTATTTTTCAGGCCCAAACTCGTGTAAAGCTGAATTTTCTGGACCAGATTGCAAAGTTTTGGGAGCTTCAAGGATGTACCCTGAAAATTCCTCATGTGGAGAGGAAGATCTTAGATTTATTTCAGCTGAATAGAGTAAGACATTGGAGAAACATGTCCTGAAATATGTTATCTCAGTTTCTCTGATGGTCACAGTTGTTTGAAGGAGATTTTTGAGTATAAGCTGAAAAAAGTGTTTCTTTGTGTAACCTAACAGAGCTAATATGACAAAGTAGTAAGAAAATACAATATCATGGGGGTTCTAGGAGATCAAATTAAATTTCCAGCTCTTCTTTAAAGTTGAACTTGGATACAAAAACTCATCAAGAATAGGCTTAGACTGTAAGAGAGAGCTTCTGAACATTGACAGCCATGAGAAAAACACTTTTCCATTAGAAATGTCGGAGAAAAAAATGAATTACTTTTAGCTTGTGTTGAGGCCCTGGCTGTGTTGAATGATTATGAGAAACTTTAGGCAGCTGGAGGAACAGTGAAGGTCATTCCTGTGGGAACTAGTGAAGCATGTATGTGTAACAATTGAGTAGTAAGGTGAACAAGACGGGGAGTCAGATAAAGGGCTTAAAGTAGGGGCCAATCAAAAGGGGAATGGGGATGCGTGAACAATGTATATTAACCAATTAAGAGCTTTGCTTTGCTGCGTGGGCAGCGTGCAGCTGTCCTGAGCCTATAGAATCTGCACACAGCTGAATAAACTCGGACTGAACCTACATCATATTGGTGTGTCACGTTCTTTCCCGGCTTGCCACGGATATGGACCTCGGCAAGCTTGCATTCTGATATTAAGCAATGGGATTCACTGATCCCAGGGATATGTCCACTGTTTTCTTTATGTTTAGGATAGTTTTAATTTTGTTGGTTTTGAGCCTGTTTCATAGAACTTATTCCAATGAGAAGAACTGCTCGTACTGTGCTAGGAAGTTGTTGTCACACAGAGTGGAGGCGTGACAAATTGCAGCCAGGCAAACTCTCCAAAGTGGGCTGAATTACTGTTTGGTCATCTAATACAAGTGCTGACTTGTTTGTAAAGTAATTCAGCAAGTTTACAATTTCTGAATACATTTTATGCTGCGTTGCAGTGATAGCCCTGAAACAACTTTGGTGTTTTGTGTTGGGTTTTTTTAAATCTACAGTTTTTGGGTTTCAAATAGCAAATGGGTTGTTGCCTTTTAAGCTGTGGCAGTGCTTTTCTTAAACACTGATCGTTATAGTATTACCTATGTAACCTTTTTTTTTTTTTTTTTTTTTCACTTTTTAGCTAGTTGCAGATGAAGGAGGATTTGATGTAGTTTGCAAAGAGAGAAAATGGACCAAAATAGCCACGAGGATGGGATTTGCTCCTGGCAAAGCTGTGGGCTCCCACATCCGCGCGCATTACGAGCGCATTCTCTATCCTTACAATCTATTCCAGTCTGGAGCAAGCCTGTTGGTAAGCATAGTGAAGCTAACTGAAGTCCAGTTAATTTAGCGGCCAGTCTGGTGGTTTTTTGACCAGTGGAATATTTCCAAAGGCTGCACTGAATGCTTTGTGGCCTGCAGGTGACAAGACATGGTCTGTGGTGTTGAATTTGGAAATTCAGCGTGAAGCAATTAAGAAAGCCAGAGGCAAACTTGTAATCAGAAGTAAAGTTTCTGGATTACTCTTTGAGGAAACCTCTTATTGACGGCTCTGAATACTGCCTTTTTGTGGTTTCCCTCTACAGCTTACAGAAACCTCATGATAATGGACTTCCAGACTTCCTGTAACAATGTCTTTAATGCTGTTTTATCTAATGCAAAATTCTGCTGTATTCACAGATCATTTTAGGTCCTTCTCTCTGTGGAACCAGAATGCTGCTGGTCTGCATCACTTGCACACAGTGACTGAGGGACTGTATCAAACCACGGCAGTTTTGTGGCACTAACTCATCTTGCTTTCACTAAGTGTCCAAGTTCAAGAATGCTTTGTGGATATTGCAGTGTTCCTAACAGTATGGCTTGTGACTTTCTTCAAGCTTAAATCTTCATCCTTCCTGCTTAGATTTGAGCATTAAAACAGAAGTCAGGGTTGGTTAAGAGTGGAACAATGTAATCTCTAATGAAGAACAGGGCTTTTCTTTTAGAGCAGTACTCATTTATTTGGAAAACCAAAATAGGTTGCGGCTGCCAACATCCATTTTCCTTTATTTGAAACACCCTTAACATAGTATGATCTTTCAGAGGGAGGTGTTGGCCTTTTTTTAAGCAGTAAAAGCCAAAATCCTGTTACAAACATGTCTCTGCCCACAGAAATCAATGGAGAGGCTTTCACATAGAGCTACCAAAATGATGGAGGGACTTGACTCAGGTCAAGAGGGGTTGGAATTGGAGGCTTTTTATTTAGCTAGTGGTGATTGCTTTTCAGTGAAGAACAGCTAGAATCTGTAGGCCCTTCAGAAGAAGAGCAACTTAACTTGTGTAGGTTTGAGTATTTTGGAAATGTAGGATAAGAATAAACTATAGTTGAATATAAATATCTCTGTGATATGGAAGCTGCTGTATCAAAAATATTTTGCCTTGTCTCAGAGACGTTGATGTTAAGCAGTGGAAAGCAGTGCCATTTTCTGAAGGCATTTCATTGAAAAATCCACATTTTTATGAGGTCTGAAAACTATGGATCCTCTTTTTTTTTTTTTTTTTTAATCTGAGGTGTGTTGGGACACCTGGCGTTGCTTTCCTGTTTTTGAGATACAGTTGCACAGGGATAGATGTAATTCAAAGTTGTAAAGCAGCTGACCTGGAGCCACACTGCCTGGGAAATGTGGGTTCCCTCATGAGTGTCTGTCACACAGCTGATGTTCACTTGGGTGACTCTCAGGAGTGGACCTTTTGGAAGGGAAGGACCTTCTCAGATGAGGTCATTCTTCTTTTTAAATGTCACTTCCCAAGCTCCCACTTGCAACAGGCACCTGCCATTTCCAAACTGATGTGTTTAGGAGGTGTAGGTCAGGAGAAGCCTGGTAGGCACAGCTAACTTCATTTTTTAACTCGTCCCTCCTCCGAAAAGCTGGTTAAATACTCTCCCCCCATGTGTGGCAGAGACGTATCTTTTAAAATAACTGAAAGAATCCACAGAAGTATGTTTGGCTCACTTTTCACTTACGATTTGACTTTTTTTTTATTCTAACAGTATTGTCTTCCAGCTGAGTTTATTTTACAAACCTTTTTTTAAGGGAGAATCTCAGATGTGATTCTTTCTGCCTTTCTTCCTTGTGTTCTCAGTAAGTGGTGCTTTCCCAGCTGTTTCCTGTGTAGGTGTCCATTTCATGGTGTCTGTTCAGTGCTTCACTGGGGATCTAAGCAGCTCTGAGTTTTGGTTTTGGCAAAGATCTAGCTATTGGATTTGACAGCTGTCAGTTTGAGATGTGTGGTTCCTTGTCATATTTCAACAAGCCTTTTGAAGGAAACTCTTCATGCAGCCAGGGTGATCATCCATTAAACATTAGTGCTAGCATTCACTAATTTTTTTTTTTTTTAAATTGGTAGCACTTGCAATCTTCATTGACTTTTTTCTGCAAAAGCCCAAAATATGAAATGATGTATTTTCCATTGATGACTCTGCCTTTGCTTGAATCTCATCCACATCTGTGTACAGCGTGAATTGTTTATGTGTGGCTTAAATATATGTTAAACTTGCTTCAGGAATTATTTTGACAAATATCCCAGTTGGAGATATTTCTATATACATAATAAAATAAGAAGACTCTTTGGAGCTGTTCAGGGGTGAACAGATGACATGTTTTATTAAAGCTCTTGTTCAGTCAAATGGCAAAAATTTCTGAAATCAGCCAGTTTCTAATAGTCCATGCAGCTCTCCCCAAGGATGCATGTATTTTTTTTCTTCTCTTGAAGCATTGGACTAGACAGGTCTTGAGTGTTTGTCTCCGGAGTGGTGCAGCAGAGCTGGTGGTGAACTGGTTCTGTCTGTGCCTCCCTTGAGTTCTGAGCCCCAGTAACCATGAGTGTGATGCTTCAGAATCCTGCTCTGTGCCCAGAGGGATAAATGTCCCCTGACATGAGCTGAGTGTCCAGAATCTTCTGTGATTTGCTTAATTTAAAATGCAGCTACAGTTCCAGGGGGGCTAGAGATGGTCTTGTGGTGTTCTGTTCCTCAGTGAATGCATCTGATTCAGTAGTTCTGGGTCAGGTCCCTTTTCCAAACTAAGGCTTTAAAATCCTAAGTGTGAATCACAGAATCTTTCTGGTTGGAAAAGCCCTTTAAGATCATAGAGTCCAACTGTAATCTAACTCTGCCAACCATTAACCCAACTCTAAAGTCCAATACTTTGTTCCCAAGCATCACATCTAGAAGTCTCTTAAATATCTCCAGGGATGGAAACTCAGCCACCTGCCTGGGCAGCCTGTGCCAGAGCTTAATTACCCTTTCAGTGAAGATTTTTTTTCTAATACCTAAACCTTCCCAATTCATATGTCCAAAGATTCATGTTTATGCCTCTAATAAGATGCTTCTGTGTGAGATAGTTTTCCAGGACTCTTTATTGTTACGGGAGAAAAATAAGCACCTCTGCAGTTTGGTAGCACTGACCTCTTATCTTTGGTGACCGATGATAGGACCCAAGGGAAAGGTAGGAAAGTGTGCAGAGGGAGGTTTAGGTTAGACATTAGGAAGAGTTTCCTCACCCAGAGGGTGGTGGAGCACTGGAAGAGGCTCCCTAGGGAAGCAGGAATGAATACTGCCTGACAGTATTCAAGAAGCATTTGGACAACACCCTCAGGAACATGGTGTGGACTTTGGGGTTGTCCTCTTCTGGATGGGAGTTGGACTTGGGTCCAGGCTGTCCAAGGATATGGTTGAGCCACCATCCCTGGAGGTACCTAAAAAGACAAATGTGGTGCCAGGGGACAGGGTTTAGTGGTGGACGTGGCAGAGCTGGGTAGTGGTTGGACTCAGTGATCTTGAAGGTCTTTTCCAACCAGAGTGATACTGTGATACTGTGGTTCTTATCCTTAGGTGGATATGTAACAGGGATAGACCAGTTGTGTTCTTCAAGTACAGGGAGCTTGGTTGATTAGCTTATGTGTAAATTACTACTTCATAAACATCTAAACCTGTAGGTTATTAATTATAGCCCTGTTTTGTTTTTTTTTCCGTCTTCTGTCATCCTGGAGGCCTTGTGG